ATATATAGGAAAATGTTATGGCGTTATATACGCACCACCACCTGATCAGCTGGTATACGTTGATGATTTTGTCCACAGTGGTACCAGATGGCGTTATATATGCGTATATATGTAAATATATGTATATGGGATATGGGAAAAAGGTTACGGTATTATATACGCACCACCACCTGATCAGCTGGTATATGATGATGATGTTGCCCACAGTTGCTGAAATGATATGATGGGATGCCCTCAGAGGCTTGATGATGTTATGTACGTACGGACCTATGCATTACATGATATTTATATGCATATGCATAACATTAAAGATATTTCATGATTTTGATTACAGAGCCATCCAGATTTACAGGCTGAGTCATTTACTCCACATTTTCTTCCATTCCCTTTATAAATTATTTACATGCCTTACATACTCAGTACATTATTCGTACTAACGTCCTTTTGTTGGGGATGCTGCATTCGTGCCTGCAGGTATAGATAATCAGTTTGACAAGCTTTCATCGTAGATGAGATTAACATTCAACGAAGGATCGGTAAGACTCCATCTCATTCGGAGTGCAGCCGAGTCTATGAGGCACATGTCAGAGTTTTGCTACAGACTTATGGGTAGGCGGGTACCCTGTCCCATTTTATGTCAAATAATCTTAGATGCTTTGTAGACATAGAGGTTTATTTTGTACAGTATGTCAGAGGCCTTGACGACCCATATATATCCAGGTTTTATGATTGATGGTTCATTAATATAATATTTTCCCACTTAAAATTGTACATCACGAGTTGTGGCCATGTTGACCCATGATAGTTACAAAAGAAACGAATGAGTTACAGAGTGGTTCGCTCGGGTCACTACGGTACCGGGTGCCAACAACGCCTCCCCAGGTTTGGGGCGTGACAGTTACATAGGTCTTACGAGTCATGATCAGGTTAGTCTCGCGGATCGGTATGGAAACATCTGTATTTATCCTCGAGAGGCTGCAGAACCTTTAGGAAAAAATTCATATTCTTGAAATTCTTATCGTGAGTCCTTGATTCAGCTTGAAAATTAACTCTTTGAATTCCTTCCACGCATTCGTATGTGCACATGACCGCTCGGTATCGGATATGCATCGATGGATTGTGATTCCCTGATCGAGGGGCGAGATGTGATCTTTATGCGTTGATGTTGGGCCAGTCTGGAGGACTCGAGGTCGGATTTTTGCCTATAGCTTGAGCACTGAGCTATTGATTTTTTGAGCGCGTGTTTCTGGATCCATATGTTCTGTTGTGTCCCTATTAAGAGAGGTGATGACTGGATAGTTACGTGATGAGTGTGATGTGATTGCGAGATGTATTCATGTGATTTGGAAGCTCCGAGAAGGGTCTGCTAGAGGATAGAAGGACTATTAGGTGCTCGATTTTCATCTTGATTTGAGGTATAGCCCCGAGTTATGGGTGTGTGAAGAATCTTTCCATGTTTCCTAGTTGGGAGTAGAGTAAATTTCATGTTGCGGTCTGAGTTCAGACTCAGGAAGTTTAAGTGACTGCGTAATGTTTATAACGGTGGAAGGTATACAGAAATGTTAGTTTGAGGCAAAGCAGGTGGGGCTATCTCCTGTGCATTGTTCTGAAGTTTGCGTAATCCCTTGTGTCATTTATTGGAAGATCTCTGTTACCACGGAAATATATGTTTTACAATTTGAATTTGGGTTGCTCAAGAGAGTAGGCTTGTCTACTACGAGAGTGAATGCGAGATTTGTAGAAGATATAATGTACCAGATGGTTTGTGTTCTACGAGTTTATGAAGGATTGGGTTTAATCTCACTATGGTATTATGGCAGCAATAAAGTTATGCGTTATGAGTTATTGTGTATGTTTTGGTCTATGGCTTCGAGCCAAGTGGGGGAGTCCACTNCACCTGTTCATGTATCTACCCCGGCGAGCAATACTGTTGGTGTAGACAGTGTGTACCGATCGTGTGTGGTGACTATTGGGGATCTGGAGACCCGTGTGGATCTTTTATTATTGTGTATGGTGGATTTCAATGCCATTTTAGGTATGGATTGGCTATCTCCGTGTCATGCTATTCTTGACTGTCATGCTAAGACAGTCACATTGGCTATATCGGGTGTGCCACGGATTGAGTGGCGAGGTTTGACTGATTATGTTCCCAGTAGAGTGATCTCATTCTTGAAAGCCCAACGTATGGTTAGGAAGGGTTGTCTTTCGTATCTAACTTTTGTGAGGCATGTCGGTCCTGAGACTCCCAGTATTGATTCTGTTCCAGTTGTGAGGGATTTTTCCGATGTGTTTTCTGCAGACCTACCGGACATGCCACCGGATAGGGATATTGATTTTGGTATTGACCTGGTACCGGGCACTCAGCCCATTTCTATTCCGCCGTATCGTATGGCACCAACAGAGTTAAAGGAATTAAAGGAACAACTTTTGGATCTCCTTGATAAAGGGTTCATTAGGCCTAGTGTGTCACCTTGGGGTGCACCGGTTCTATTTGTGAAGAAGAAGGATGGCACTATAAGGATGTGCATTAATTATAGGCAATTAAATAAGGTAACAATTAAGAACAAGTATCCTTTGCCTCACATTGATGATTTATTCGACCAGCTTTAGGGAGCGAGAGTGTTCTCCAAGATTGATCTTTGTTCAGGTTATCACTAGTTGAAGATCAGGGACTCAGATATTCTTAAGACAGCTTTCAGGACCCGATATGGTCATTATGCATTCTTGGTGATGTCTTTTGGGTTGACCAATGCCCCAGCAACATTCATGCATTTGATGAATAGTGTGTTCCGGCCTTATCTTGTCTCGTTTATCATAGTCTTCATTGATGATATTCTGGTATATTCGCGTAATCAGGAGGAGCACGCGGAGCATTTGAGAGTTGTGTTGCAGAGATTGAGAGAGGAGAAGCTTTATGCAAAATTCTCCAAGTGTGAGTTTTGGCTTAGTTCAGTAGCTTTCTTGGGGCACATGGTGTCCAGTGAGGGTATTCAGGATGATCCGAAGAAGATAGAGGTGGTTCAGAGTTGGCCTAGACCGTTCTCAGCCACAGAGATTCGTAGCTTTCTTGGTTTGGCAGGCTATTATCGCCGGTTTGTTCGGGGATTCTCATCTATCACATCGCCCTTGACCAAGTTGACTCAGAAGGGTGCTTCATTTGTATGGTCAGACAAGTATGAGGAGAGCTTTCAGAAGATCAAGACAGCTTTGACCACAGCTCTAGTGTTGGTTACTCTCAGCTAAAAAAAACTAACAAAAGTTCTTAACAAACCAACGTGAAATTAGCAATTACAAACTTAAAGCCTTACTAACACGAATTCAAACTTGTTCAAGGGGCAGAGTCCATGATCCACCCAGTATTACAGAGCATGTTTACAGCTAAACAAATAAGAGTGAACATGATAAAGGGGAGATCAGACTACTCCACACATTCTGATGATTTCTAAAAGACATGAGTAGCATTTTATGAACAAAACAGAAATACAGCTAAGCTATAAAAGTGAACAAATTTAATGCACTGCTTCAAAGTTCCCTGTCCATTTCATTCATCAAATTTGGATTCACATTCTGCAGGTCTTAGAATAATTACCTGGATATTGAAAGCAAAGAACAAAGTGAGGAGTCAGCAGCAGTACTTAGCAGAATTCAGCACCAGCAACACCAATGCAAACCAGAAAAATGGATATGAAGCAGTACAAGACAGTCTTAATCGAACAATAACCCAAAGCAACCTCAAACCAAACTTCAAACACCAAAACTCAATTCATTTTAGCACCAGATTAATCAGAAATTCTTCAGAAGTTAAAAGTCTTCGAAATTATAAAAGAAAATGCAATGGAACAGTAATCTTTTTTCTTTTAGTGTTTTTAGCCCTTTGTCTTTTCTCTCAAAACTTTTAGTTCTTGAAGTTTATGAAAGTAGTAAAATATTTTTGCAGTTTCTGGATTTTTAGATTTCCAGCTCTCAAAATCTGACTTGAGCTCTAAGTAACAATGCCTTTATAGACAAGCTATTAGGGCAGCCTCAAAGAGTTCAAAATTGCCTTTAAAACTTTTTGAAATTTTCATTTTAGCTTAGAAATCCCCGTGTAAACCTCAGAATTTTAAAATAGCCCCCCACCCCAGCATCTAGGAAGCTTCCTAGTTCAGTTATAGAAGATTCCAAGCCTAGACTACCCAAATTACCCCTTAATGACCCTGTTATTACCTATGAAAACCAGACCCAAAAATGGGTCAGAATTGACCCAATAACCCAAACAAATTTGGACGGGCTGCTCTTTGCCAAATGGACCAGAGACAACCCAAAACCCAAACGAACACTTATCTATTTGAAGAGAAAATCTGCAAGCCATGATAACATGAAATGATTTCAAAGCAAACCGACTTAAATTACTGATCAATTAACACGACTAGGCAGGGAGTTAACTAAGTTGAAATAACCTGATTTAAACTAACTTGGGTAACTAAACAGAAAGGCATGATCGGAGAATTAGCCATGCCATTAACACAACGGACTAAAGAAATCAGAAAACAGGCTTTCACGAAGAAGAGAAAAACAGTGAATAGAAGACCAATTTAAACTCGAAAGATTAATCGAGTTTCAGCCAGATTAGTATAAGAAAATTAAGCTAAAGAAAAGGGGAGGGAGAAAGAGAATAAGACAGTAAAAGAAAGAGAAGACAAGAGGAGAAAGGAGCTTACCGATTCAGACTCGAAATCTATCGGAGACAAAGGACCTAACAAAACTAATGTCGATCGTTTGAATCCAAACTTCAAAAACTCGAAGAACAGTGTCCTATGACCATGCATGTACCATGTCCAATAGAAAATGATTTTTGCACTTTCAGGGCTCGAACTCAGATTTAGGATTCAAGAAGCTTCGAAAAGATTCGAGGGAAACGGAGTGAGGATTTGGCATGAGGGGGTCGTGGTGGCTATGTGGTGTTAATTTGGGGTCATTCGGGTGAGTTGGAGTTTTGGTCTTCCTCTTTGATTCAAGATTCGAAGAGTTCTGTTAGGATTCGAGGGAGAGATTTTGGAGATTTGGGAAGAGAAGAAGGAGGGGAGTCTATGGCATTAATTTGGGGTCGATTGGAGTACCGCCGCCAGCGGAGACAATTTCCGGCAAGCGGTTTCGGCGGAGGCAATGAGGTTTGGTGAAGGAGATGAGAGGGGGTAGGGGGGCTGTTTGGACACTTATATATCACGATGAGGTTAGTTCTGGACCGTCAGATCAACTAA